ATGGGATAGTGGTCACTGAAAAGGGAGTCATCTTCAACGTGTTGTGTAAAAAGTGTCGCGGTGTTTGTGTCGGTAATGGCGAGGTCTAGGACGGAGTGTATGACCTCTCCATTGCGTGTGCGTGTGAATGTGGGTGTAAGATTGTTAATGAGCATTAAATCGAGTGAGTTAATTACGTTAAGGAGTTGTGTTCCGCGCGAGTTTGTTTCTGTGCACCCCCATGTGCGGTGGTGTGCATTAAAATCCCCCATGATTATAAAAGGCGGGGAAAGTTGGGAGAAAAGGTCTAGGAGTAGAGGACAAGAAAGTGGGAGGCTAGGTGAAAGGTAGATCGAAAGGACAGTGAGGTCTAGTTGTGCAATTTTGACTTTTACTCCGACTGCGTTAAGCGTAGTTCGGAGGAAAATTTCATGATGCAAAAGTTTATTTGAAACGTAAAGAGCCGAGCCGCCCCGGCGGTGGGTTTCATTTACGTTATTTGTGTATAAAGAGAAATCACGAATGTTGAAATTGTAATTATATGTATCTGAATCTTTAAGATGGGTCTCTTGGACGGCGGCTAGTAACGGTTTTTTATTTAACATATAGTTCTTGAATTCCCCCCAATGGGATACCAACGAGTTCGTATTCCATTGGAGAAAGAATTCAGAAAATTGAGTCATTTACCCTGTGTGTGTTTGTTTACTGGTGTTCTTGGGTATAAGCGTGCGAACGAGTAAGTCGTCTTCCCGTCGAAAGGGAGCGAGAGCTGGAGCGAGATGAAGACCTTTCTCGAATACGAGCGGGAGAGGATGCTCGAGAAGACATGGGCCTGGGTTTTAGGTGGTCGGCGGAGACGGGACTTTCGAAAAGTTCCTGTGTGAACTGTGCCTCAACGACAGTATCGTTGGGCGAATCAAGAGAATCTAGAGATTCTGCGGAGTCAACAGACGTGCTGGCAACGTCTGGGGTCTCTGGGACCGCGGAGTCTGCGAGAAGCGGAGTCTGAGGGGTTTCAATGGGCATCTCCTTGACAGGGGTCACCGGCTCTGGGTCGTCGAGAGATGCTTTGGCTACAGCGACCGCGTCAGTTTGATTTGCTGCAGGGGTCTTGTGGACGTGGTCTGGCTGAGTCTCAGTTGGCACCTCGGCCAGAGGCTGAGCTGCTCCCGCCGAAGTATCTATGACCGTGTCCGTCTCGTCGGGGGTGGGAGCGGCCTGGAGGACTGGTGTCGTGACAGTTTCCGTCGACTCCGGGTGCGACGGACGAGGAGGCTCCACTTCTGTACGGGGCGGCGGGGTCAGGTTCGGGTCGGAGCGCTGCCTGGGTCCAGCCTGAGGTCCTGAGCAGCGGGGCTTACTCCCCCGGACGGCGTCGGCGTATCTGCGCTCGCTAGGGAAAGAGTGCCCGGCCGGGCGGGGTGGAGGGGCAGAGGGCGGCTTCCGGTTAAGTTTTTCCTTATGGAAGTGCCACGCCGGGCACTTCTTATCCCAGGCGGGATGAGGGCCGCCACAGTGGGCGCACTGGACCTCCTCCCTCTGGCACTCATCCGAACTGTGTCCCAATGTGGCACAGCGGAGACAATTTGCCTCTTTGGAACGGCAGGTCGATTGGAGGTGCCCGTAACGTCCGCAGCGCCGGCAGAGTCGCGGGTTCACCTCCCACGGGCTCACAGTCAGTACCTCGTATCCGGCGTATATGGCAGGTGGGCACTCGAGGCCAAGAAACCTCAGCTTTAGCAGCGGGTTTGGGTTAGGCCCTTTGGATCGGAGGCGCGTCACCTCTACCACTCCTTGTGAGCGGAGCTCCGCCTGAATCTCAGCCTCCTCGATGTACTGGAGTGCCGGGGAGTAGCACGTACCCGCCACGGTGTTAAGGCGGGTAGCCGGGGCGGCCGTAACGGCCGTGCCACAGAAGGTGGTGATGCTCAGGGCGAGTCGAGCCTGCTCTTTATTGAAGACCCGGATCAGAATGTTTCCTGACCGGATCACTTTGGCGTTCACGCACGGGCCGATTGCCATGTCCATCTCCCTCTGCAGTTTAAATGGGGAGAGGCGGCGGAACGAGTCTTCAGGAGTCAGGTGGACGAAGGACTGACCCTCTGGAACTTGGTCCATCATCGGGTCAGGGAGGGGTTCGGGGGCGGGGTCAGAAGGATAGGGGCCCATGAGAGGGAGGACGAGGGGTGGGCGGGGGCGAGACAGCGTGGGTGCCATCCTTGTTTTCTCAGAAGTAGAATGATCAAATTCAGTGGCAAAAATAGAGGGCTTGACAAATTATTACGGCCGGAACAGAACTGGAATTACCCGCGAAGATGTGCTCAGGCGCGCCCGCGGTTAGAAAAAAAAGCGCGCCAATAAACCGCGCCAAGAAACCGCGCGAACGCCGCTAGCCGGCGGGCTGACGTCACGATCACGTGACCGGCGTCGGCCAATTACCGCTGCCGGCCGCAACCGACGAGGAATGGATTGGAGCCGGAAGCCGATGGAGGGAGAGCGAGGATGTGAATATTAATATTATAATTTAGAAGACAAAGCGAAATAATGACTTGAATAAACGAGATGATGGAAAAGGGAGGGAAATGCACCGGTCTGTTGTTTGAAACAACCCAACCAGCGCGCAATTCGGATCGGAGCAACCTAACTAATGCGGACCGTGGCAGAACACGTCCGCACCCGTCGGAGCCTAGTCGCCGAATGTTTTACTTTTTGCAACGGGGAGATATTTTCTGAGCATGCTCAGTGCATTTTGAACCCGCCAATGAGCGTATCCTGTGAATAAAGTTAAATGTTTTGTTGTCACACCTCATTTTCCGGTCAGTTTACGAATAAATGACGTCACAGTGACGTCATAGATTGTCTGCGATATGCGTTAACTAGGATTTTCATTTATTGCAATGAATTTTGACTATAATATTAAAGTTTTGGAATACAACACAACTACACGACTAATTTTATTTTAAGATATATAAAAAGGGTACCATTCTTCAAAAAAGAAGAACCACGCAGTTGCACGTGCTCTGGAAGTGGTGCAGCATTAGTTAGAGGTGCGCACCGGTCAGATTCGGGCTCAACAGTCATTTTTGTCCCAGAAACCACCCTTTGCTAAGCTCTACCCAATTTTGCGTTATTCGGCCCAAAATTGGGCCTCCTTCCCCTGACTATATGTAAAATGGGTGCCCCACAGGCTGTGCCAAATTTGAGGGCGCTGCGCGTCGCCGTTTTTACGCTATCTTCGAAAAACCTTAGGGGGGGGGGCGCATCGACCCCCTCCTGCCAGGGCGAGGGTTAACGAAAAGACTTAACCCTCGCCCGTATTGGTGTTTTTCCAGTCGCGAACGTATAGGGGGGGGGGGTCCGTTGGACCCTTCCCCTTGCCGTTTCGCCCCTGATCGAGCTAGAGCTTCGCGGAAAAAAACGAGCGTGTTGCCCGTCACGAGAGGAAGCCGATGATATCCAATTTTAAGGTCCTAGGTCATCGGTTGACCTTCCAGGTCAGGTCAATGACGCAAAAGTCGGGAAATCGGGACCTGTTAGAAAGTCGTAAAGCTGGCTGCCATGGGTTTTTTCAGGGTGCTGATCACGAATATCATGTTAGTTTTGATCACAGATGATATATTCATGCATTTAGGCCAGGTCGGGTCAGGTCAGGTCAGGTCAACCAGTAAGGGTATTCGTAGTAGGTGAAACCGCCTCTGACAGCTTCGTAACATGTTACGAAGGCACCAAAACTACTTCGTAAATGTTCATATGGTTGCTAAATTCGAATTCAGCTCCAAAAACTGGCCTAGCAACATGTAAAACTCGAAAAAGTGAAACGAGGTCATCAAAGGTCAATGACCTTACCTGACCTTTCGGTGACCTTGACACCCACCCTAATGCATGGGCACAACATCATATCCCATGTTTGAACGCTTAAAACCACGAAAAGACTGCAAACGCGCGGCTAATGCGAGCCGACATACGCCGAATCGCGAATCCGGCCAAACATGGTCTCGAAAAGTAGGTCACAGGTCAAAGGTCATTAAGGTCAGGTTCATGAAAATTTCAGGATAGGTGTAAAATTGATTAACACGAGGGTACTGAAAGTATCGTCGCGATCGGCCGCTTTTTACGCGAGTTATTCGCGAAAAACCGAGGGGGGGGGGGCGTTCGACGCCCTCCCCCCATACGGGCGAGGGTTAAATTGATGCAGCCCAAGGTACTGAATTTCGCCACAATACGTCTAGTAGTTTAGAAGATATTGCAGAAAAACGAAAGGGGTCTATGAATAAGGAATAAGGGCTTCCCCTGTGGGGCGCGGAACCCCCGCCCCGTAAGGGGGGCATTTTGCCCCCCCCCCCTGTGGTTTTTCCTGAATAGCAAGAAAACGACGGCGCGCAGCGCCGCCAAATTTTCAGTACATTCCCGGGCATCAATTTTACACCTTCACACTAAATTTCAAGTCTTAGGTCACCTTAGGTCAGGAATTATTGAGGTCAAACTGAGGTCATGTTCGAGCAAAAATGAGCAAAAAACATGCAATCTTGAAACGCTCACCAAATCTACAGTTATCAAGCAATTTCAAAGTTCTTTATATGGTCTAGTAGACAAAAAGCGGCGCTACAAAACTACAATCTCGGATTTTCAAAATTTCGGGTTTTTGACCCAAAAAATACAAAAAAAATGATTTTTTTTAACTTTAAAAAAATCCAAAATGTTTCCGAATTTCGAAAAAAAAACCGAATAAATGTGATAGTCCCTGCGCTGTTCTATATACATATTAAATTTCAGATCGATATCTCGTTTTTTGGCCAAGTTATAGCGAAAACAACTGTTCAAAAATGATGACGTCAAATTTTTTAACTCAATTTTTAGCGATTTTAGACCACGTACGGCAAATTAAAGACCACCATTGAACTCCCCGTGACAAGCTGCATCGATTCGATACCCATTTTATGCAAAAACATTTACTTTGAAATTTGACCTAATTTGACCTGACCTTGACCTGACTGTAGCATGATGGACACAATAAGGAATATGAGTAGCGTATGAGTCAGGCGCGCGGCGAGACTGAGCTGCGGGACGTGACCCGGTGACCCAGAGTGAGTCATCCGCCGCCGCCGCCGGACGTCGGGGCGGCCGGGTTACGCCCCCTGATCAGTTGCACAGGGGATGACGTATGACAATGTGATTGGCTAATGATGATGCGCGATGACGTGTGCGTGAGAGCTATGGTCTGGTTGGGAGTGTGATTGCTGGGCAGTTGGCTGAGAGGCTCGGAGGAGAGCGGAATATAGTTTTCTTGGTTACGTGGACGCAGGAGTTCTAAATCGCTTAAAGCTATTTCGGCCATTCTCAGAACAATCAGTGCTTGTGACAATGTCTGACGTGGAAGAGGAGAGTGGTGCCGCGGTGGTCGATACCAATGCGGCGGAACCCGAACTTCCTGCACCTGCTTTCGATCTGCGGGCAATACCAGAGTTCGACGGTACCGGTGACGTCGTCAAATGGCTGGAGCAGGCGAAACAGCTGTGCGCCCTGAGACGCGTTTCCCTGGCCGCTGTTTTGCCGACGCGCCTGCGGGACCAGGCGTACGAAGTTTGGGCCAGCCTCTCCGAGACCGAACAACGAGACGCTGAGATCGTCCGTGACAAGCTGCACAGCGCCTTTGCCATGGGACCGGACGCCGCAATGTCAGAGCTATATCGTCGACGTCTGGAGCCGGGTGAGTCTGTTGATGCTTACCTGGGCTCCATCAAACGTCTGATGTCTCTAATCGGCTATGTGTCCAGCACGGTCATGACGGTTCATTTCCTACAAGGCCTGCCAGCGGAAGTGCGGCTGACGGTACGAAACAGCGTTGGAGATGGCACGCTCACCCTGGAGCGAGCGGTCGCCATCGCCCGGTCGACGTTGGCGATAACTGCCAGGGAGAGAGCGGCTGCACCGGTGGCTGCCGTCCAACTGCCGCCACCATCGGTACAGCAACAGCGGGCGACCAGAGGAACTGCTCGCCGGCCACCGTTGCGGTGCTGGACCTGTGGCCAGATGGGCCACATCGCCCGGCTCTGCCCAAACGGACGTGGCGACGGCGCTACATCAGCGCCACGGGCTCCGCCGTCGCCAGCCGCCGCAACAGCCCGGGAACGCCCATCATCGCCATCACCGTGAATGGGCACAGGTGCCGAGCACTGGTCGACACGGGATGTAGTGAGACAGTGGTGTGGAAGGGCGTGGTGTCCCGATGGGAGCGGAGTGACACCAGTTTGATGGCTGTCAACGACAGCCCAGTTCGGTGCTGTGGGCAGGCTGCGGTGAGCCTGGGTGTGCGCGGAACGACAGTGAATGTGCGGGCGGTCGTCGTACCGGCCCGGTTGTTAGGCGTGGACGTGTTGCTAGGTATGACGGGCATCGACGCTCTGCGTGGCGTAAGTGTGAGTGGGGGGTCTGTTCGCTTCGGAAGCGAAGACCCGGCTGCTACGGAGCAGCGTGAGGCCCCGCCGGAGCGGGAGGTATGCCGAGCGGTCGGCACGGCTGCAGGCGTGCAGCGTGAGGCCCCGCCGGAGCGGGAGGTGTGCCGAGCGGTCGGCACGGCTGTGGGCGTGCAGCGTGAGGCTCCGCCGGAGCGGGAGGTGTGCCGAGCGGTCGGCACGGCTGCGGGCGTGCAGCGTGAGGCCCCGCCGGAGCGGGAGGCGTGCCGAGCGGTCGGCACGGCTGCGGGCGTGCAGCGTGAGGCGCCACCGGGGCGGGAGGCGTGCCGAGCGGTCGACATGGGGCCAGAGTTGAGGATCAACGAGACCGACTTCACGGCAGTGTTCGATGCCGGGGTGTGGACGGTTCGCTGGAAGTGGGCGGGCGGTGTGGACCCGCCACCGCTTCGCAACTCCACGGCTCAGTACGGCATACCGAGGGGTGCGCGAGAGAAATTCGATGCCGAGCTGTCATTGTGGATAAGTGAGGGCTGGCTGCGTGAATATGACGAGACGGTGTGCGGTCCGGCACAGGGACTGCTCCCGTTCATGGCGGTAACTCAGGCGGCAAAGAACAAGGTGCGGCCGGTGCTTGATTATCGAGAGCTTAATCAACACCCGACGCCTCACACGGCTGACGCGGACGTCTGCGTGGAGGAGCTTCGACGATGGCGACGCCACGGCCGCCGGGTCGCGGTCCTCGATCTGAAGAAAGCTTTTCTTCAGCTCCGTGTGGACCCGGCCCTGTGGCCGTACCAGACGGTCATCGTGCGGGGGCGACGATACTGCCTCACGAGGGTCGGCTTTGGGCTTTCCATAGCGCCTCTGATCATGAAGTCGGTGGTCAGGGAGGTGCTCGCGCAGAACCCGAGGCTGGCTGAGGCGGTGCGGCCCTACGCCGATGATCTGCTGGTCAACGAAGCAGCCGTTTCAGCTGACGAGGTGGCCCAGCATTTTGCCCGTTTCGGACTCGAGTGTAAGCCGCCGGAGCGAGTTGCGAGCGGCGCACGCATGCTGGGCCTCCGTGTCGCCGAAAGTGACGGGCCGGCGCTCCAGTGGACCAGGGACGGAGGGTCACCCACGCAGCCTCCACCTGTGCTGACGCGACGAATTGTCTTCGCGTGGGCCGGCCAACTGACATCTCACGTGCCGGTCGCGGGCTGGCTACGGCCGGCCGCTGCGTGGATGAAGCGGACAGCCAACCGTCTCAGCCCGGACTGGGACACTCCGATCGTCAATGAGGAGCTGCAACGCCAAGTGGATGAAGTGTCGCGAAGGGTGCTAGCCTGTGACCCGGCATGCGGCCAGTGGTGTGTGACAGGGTCAAATGTCACCGTGTGGACTGACGCCAGCTCCATCGCTCGCGGCGTCGTCCTAGCCGACCCTGTCACAGACGCCATCATCGAGGATGCGTCCTGGCTGCGGCTGAGCGGGACGTTCACATCAACATCTCGGAGTTGGACGCCGCTCTCAACGGCGTCAATATGGCCCTGGCATGGGGCTTCCGTCGCCTGACGCTCCGGACGGACTCGGTGACTGTGCACCGCTGGCTGAGCGATGCGCTGTCGGGCAAGGCAAGGCTGCGCACCAAGGGGCAGTCCGAAATGCTTATCCGACGGCGCGTGGCTGTTTTCCGTCAGCTGGTCGCCGAGTACGAACTTGAGGTCACCATCGAACTGGTCGGCTCAGCTGCCAACCGCGCCGATGAGATGACGCGGGTGCCCAACGCCTGGCTACAGGCCGCCGATCGGCCGGCCGCCGACTCGCCCGACAAGTCACCACCGGCTGCTGTCGCAGCCATCACATCGAGTGCCTCGCCGGGCGACATCCGCGCCATACACGAGAACATTGGCCACTAGGGCGTGAGGAGGACGTTGTGGTACGCCCGACGGGAGCTGGGGGTGAGGCGCGTCACGAAGACGGCCGTGCGGGACGTGGTCAGGCGGTGTCAGACGTGCGCGTCGATTGACCCGGCTCCGGAACGCTGGCTTGGTGGGTCACTTGAGACGGAACGTACGTGGGATCGCCTGGCCATGGACGTCACCCACCTGCACGGCCACCCGTACCTGACGTTGGTGGACTGCGGGCCGTCGCGATACGCCATCTGGCGCCGGCTGCGCCGGTCGGGGGCTCTGGAGATCGTCCAGCATCTCGAGGACGTGTTTCTAGAGCGTGGAGCCCCGGCCGAAATACTCACGGACAATGCGACGGAGTTCCGCGGCCGGGCTATGATGGCGCTCGCGGCCCGCTGGGACGTGGCGATGCGATTCCGCGCCGCCTATGAGCCCGGCGGTAACGGCGTTGTAGAACGCCATCACCGGACCATCAAAGTGATGGTGGCCCGGCAGGCCTGCTCCGTCGCTGAGGCAGTCCACCGCTACAACGTGACACCTAAAGATGGCAGCGACCCGGCAACAGCTCCGATCAACGAGGTGTTCCGACACCCTGGCCGCGACGTTGACGTGACGCCCCGCGGACGAACAAATGGACAACAGTGCGACGCCCTGCCGCTGAAAACACCAGGTGTATACCAGGTGGGGGACAAAGTGTGGGTCCGGCGGCGGGGCGACCGATGTTTTGTGAAATCGGACGAGGGAACTGTGACAGGCGTCGTGTCGGCTCAAACAGTCGAAGTCGACAATGTGCCGCGTCATGTGCGCAATCTCCGCCACCGTTTGACCATGACTGATGCCCCGAGACCGGTGACTGTGCACGCCCCGACGGCGGAGCGGTGCGAGGACAGTGACAATGAATGTGATGGCATGTATATGGCAACACTTCCGACTGATGTAACGGAGACACACACGCGGCCGCCGACCGTCGATCAGACCGCGAGGGTCGATCCACCGACCCAGTCTGAGGTGTCAACGGAATCGAGCGAGCTAATAGACGGCGAATTGTCCGAGGGCGAATCACCCGCGACCGTTACATTGCGACGCAGCGCACGTGAGCGACGGGAACCAGACAGATATGGTATTGTTGTGACGGGGGATGTACTTGATGAGTTGAGTGAATGACATGATGTGTGATGTGGTTCTTTAGAACCAGGGGGTGATGTAGCATGATGGACACAATAAGGAATATGAGTAGCGTATGAGTCAGGCGCGCGGCGAGACTGAGCTGCGGGACGTGACCCGGTGACCCAGAGTGAGTCATCCGCCGCCGCCGCCGGACGTCGGGGCGGCCGGGTTACGCCCCCTGATCAGTTGCACAGGGGATGACGTATGACAATGTGATTGGCTAATGATGATGCGCGATGACGTGTGCGTGAGAGCTATGGTCTGGTTGGGAGTGTGATTGCTGGGCAGTTGGCTGAGAGGCTCGGAGGAGAGCGGAATATAGTTTTCTTGGTTACGTGGACGCAGGAGTTCTAAATCGCTTCACTGACCTTGACCGAAACGTGACCTAAGCTGGCCCCAAAGGCTGCCTGACCCACATAATCGCATTTGTCATGTAAAATGGGCCATAAAACATGTATCACACGACACTTTCATATTGTGACCCCCCAGTGACCTGACCTCTGTTACCTGACCTGGTATCAGTGACCTCAAATAGCAAAATATGTGTTTGAAGAACATTTCCCCATCGATGATTTTCAATGAAATGCATTTTACTCGATTTTACAACGCATTTTTTTAAATGCCTGTAAACGGTGAAAATTGGACCTTTGACCTGACCTGTGACGTCATCGGTTTGACCTGGGTCAGTAAAATTGGGTCACAAGGTAGTTCCCTGATAGGGCTATCCAACACCGTTTGCCGCTTGTCGCTAGGTTGCGTGGTTCTCGAGATCTTAGGGGGCCAAAATGCCCCCACCCCAACGGGGCGCGTTGCTCGGCAGAGCCCAACGGGGCGCGGGTTAACACAAATATCAGCAGTGTTGCACTTTTTTCTGCAGCTCCACCACTTCAATGAACTGTCTGAAGAGGTACGATCCAGTATGGGCTTTTCGACTCCCAGTGGACTTGTCGACTACATAGCCGGCATGTTCCCTCTTCTGCTGGTGCATGTGTGGGAGGCAGCAAGAATCCGTCGCGATAAACCACACCTGCGGAAGTTCTACACTGGTGAGTTGTTGGTTTCAAACTTTCAGCAGTTAGCAGTGTTCCACCCTTTTCAGTAATGCATGGTATGTCATGGAAACTCTGTTGTTCTTCAGGCACCTCTATCCTATCTTGATATTCACTGAAAATGTTAAGTTTCTGTGGTTTTTAGTTTCGGAGATAAAACCTTGTTCTTCAGGTCATGTCATGACCCAAATCACAAATACCCAATATCTTGCGTTGGCTACCCAGTAAACATGCCGACGTCGGCCCGACGTCGGGCCGAGGCTCGGCCCGACGTCGGCCCAACGTCGGTTCAACCTCGGCCCGACATCGGCTGGACGTCGGATATGCCCGCATGTTCCGACGTCCAGCCGAAGTCCAGCCGACGTCGAGCCGACGTCGGGCCGAGATCGTTTGCCGAGGTTGACGAGATCGTTTGTTGTTGGACCGACGGGGTCGACGTCGGCATGTTTATTGGGACAACGCGCCAAAAATATCAACCGGCGGCGGGATTCGAGCCCCCCAGTCGCCGACGTCGGCATGTTTACTGGGACAACACGCCAAAAGCATCAGCCGGCGATGGGATTCGAACCCCGTGTCATTCGAACGCGAGGTTAGTGCGCTAACCACTACATCACGCAGCCAGTTAACGAATTTGTTTTGTTTTGTTGGGTTATGCCCTTTCGGTCTGACAAGACCATTTCAGAGCCGGAAGGATCATAGGATGGAGACATTGGTCTTCTTGGTGAGCACCCTGGGTCCAGTTCATATAGAGTCCCTGGTCCCATTGCTGTTACGTGACACTTATTGGAAAGGGCGACCCCACAATGGATTCATATAGCCACTCTTACACACCTGCACCAACGTTTCCCAAAGTGTCCCTTTGATAAGTGGCACTTTGGCAAAGTGACACTTGCCGACTGGCCTTTCTATATGAACTGGGCCCGGCCCTGGTGAGTTGCCGGGGCTGAGCCTGACCAAAGGATAGGCCGAGCAGCCCCCAAGCACTCACCGCACCCGGCTACGGGCGAGCTCGGCTTACGGGCAATCCCAAATGGGATAAAGTTTCCCGTCCAGTCCGGATCAGGGGGCTGCGGCGTGGAGGAAGATTTGAGTTTCCTGAGGATATTTTGAATACTGTGGGACCGATTCCCTTCTTCCATATCATGATAAAGAGAGTACACGTTCAAGCTTTGTTACAATGAAATACCCGTCACTTTCCCCTTCGTGACGGCACCGCCCGACGACCTAGATATACCAGAAGGTCGGCGGACCGGTCCTTCATTGTGCAACCACCTTGCATATAACGCACAGGCACTGGCGAACCCCAATCAGAATCAGAACGACAGTTGGAATACAAGTCTCGGCCCGCTCAGTCTTCTCTCCATCCGCGCCTCCGCGACAATGGTGGCAGCGGCGGTCGAGGGGACTTGTGCCCCTCACCACGGACCCTAGCCTCTACATCTGCACTGACATCGCAGTCTGGTTAGTCCGTGCTCCGTGACGGTGTATCTCCCGTACGTCACGTCATCGACTAGGGAGCTGACCATCCTGGACTCGTCATCGTCCGACATCACCGTCTCCAGTGAGTAGCTCTGCCCGGCAATACCATCTGCCCTGCGGTAACGTCATCAGCTGCCCTGGACTCGCTACGGAGCCCGCCGACAGCGCACGGCTCATCAGCCCTCGCCGTCCTCCTCAGTATCATCGAGTGATGGACACCACCTCGCTGAAGGACTCAAGCTCGGAGGAGAGAAGATAAAACAAAAACTTCAACGCTAAATGCAAGACAAATTGGCACCGAAATCAAGAAAATTCACCAATTATGAACTTTTGCTGTATTTTCGTCAAAAAGTGACAGTGAAATTGTGCTGTGAAATTTGTTTTAACTTCGATGTGTTTCAAAAACCGTACTGTTTCATTATCCGTTTTCGTCAGTGTTCTGTCGTTTGTTGTGCTTCATTGTGGTTGCTCACCCCAAAATTTACGGAGAAATTGCAAATGCGCTTAATTTTTGCCTGCATTTTGCAGTGTCACTTTGACACTAATAAGCATAAAAAGAGCATATTCTGAAGTCGGTATGAACATTCAAATACGTTAATCGTGGTCAATTCACTGAAATTATATTGTATTGATATTCGGCCAGAGATGCCGAGGGCCATGGAGATGCCCAGGGACGGTCCCCGCCAAGAGTGCGGAGGGATCGCCCGGTAGTATGGTGTAATTGTCACGAAACTTACTTATCTGTTCATACCATTTTGTGATACGCTCATATGGAAATTTCTTTCTCCGTCAGCTAAACGTTTCCTCTCTTTGTTATGATCGCTTCGGTTCCCTACGCTTCCCTGGGGGAGGGAAGATAATGTGGGACCGATTCCCTTCTTCCATATCATGATAAAGAGAGTACACGTTCAAGCTTTGTTACAATGAAATACCCGTCACTTTCCCCTTCGTGACGGCACCGCCCGACGACCTAGATATACCAGAAGGTCGGCGGACCGGTCCTTCATTGTGCAACCACCTTGCATATAACGCACAGGCACTGGCGAACCCCAATCAGAATCAGAACGACAGTTGGAATACAAGTCTCGGCCCGCTCAGTCTTCTCTCCATCCGCGCCTCCGCGACAATACAGAAGCTCTTTATGAAACATGAAACATGTATTTTATATTATTTTAACGGTCAAAACAGCGGCCGATGTCGGTCCGACGTCGCTCCGACGTCGGCCCGACGTCGGCTGGACCTCAGCAATTGATCTCGGTCCGACGTCGGCCCGACGTCGGCTGGACCTCGGCTGGACGTCGGAACATGCGGGCATATCCGACATCCAGCCGACGTCGTGCCGAGGTTGGACCGACGTCGGGCCGACGTCGGCATGCCGATGCCGAGTTGCCGACGTCACCCCGACGTCGGCCGACGTCGGCCGACGTCGGGCCGACGTCGGCATGTTTACTGGGTATGAGCTTTGGACACCTTGATTTCGGCCTTTTTTCCCAGTCTTACCTCCCACTTATCATGGAGCATGTTGTTCGACGATATACAGATGTCAAGGTCAGGGTCAATGTCAACCTAGCCCGCGTCCTGTAGGGGTGGGTGGGGGGGGGGGGCGAAACGGCCCCCCTGTCCTTTTCCGTCGATATCTCCTAAACAGCTGCAGGTATCGCCACCAAACATGCAGGATCCCTCCGGGCATCAATTTCACACATTGTGACTAAAAACAATTCGAAAGGCTATGATAGGTTGGCCACAAATGACGTCAGAATGACGTCTTGTTCTGCCATTTTCGACTGAAAAAAGACCTTCGCAAGAAGAGCCGTCAGGCCTACAGCTTTGAAGATACATAAAAATGATCAGTAAATGAAAGGTGTATAATTCACAGGGCTACAAAACCATCATCTTGGAATTTTTAAATTTTTGAGCTTCGACCACCAGAAAAAAGGTTATATATAAATATTAGCAAAAAATCCAAAAACCTTTTTGAGTTTCGGAAAAACGGAATATATGTGATGGCTCCTACCGTCTTCTATCTATATACGAAATTTCAGATTGATATCTCGTTTTTTCGACCAAGTTATAGCGAAAAAACTTCAAAAATGATGAGGTCAATTTTTTAAATTCAATTTTTGGCAATGCTAGACCACGTAGGGCAAAACAAAGACCACCATTAGACTCCTCGTCACAAGCTGCATCGAATCAATACACATGTTATGCAAAAATATCAATTTTGAAATTTGACCTAAATTGACCTGACCTTGACCTGACCTTCACCAAAACGTAACCTTAGCTGGTCCCAAAGGCTGGATCAGTTGGATCCCCCCTGCCGCTCGGCCCCTGACTGAGCTAGAGCTTCGCGGAAAAAACGAGCGTGCTGCCCGTGACGAGAGGAAACCGATGATACCAAATTTTAGGGTCCTTGGTCATTGGTTGAGCTTCCAGGTCAGGTCAATGACCCAAAAGTCGGGAAAATCGGGACCTGCTAGAACTTCTTAAAGTAAAGCTGTTATGGGGTTTTTCGGTGTGCTGATCACAAATATCATGTTAGTTTTGATCAGAGATGATGTCTTTATGCATTTAGGCTAGGTCGGGTCAGGTCAGGTCAGGTCAACCAGTACGCGTCCTACCGGCTATCCATAGTAGGTGTCAGCTACCACCGACGGCGTCGTAACATGTTACGAAGGCACCAAAACTACTTCATAAATGTTCAAATGGTTGCTAAATTCGAATTCAGCTCCAAAAACTAGCCTAGAAACATGTAAAACTCGAAAAAGTGAACCGAGGTCATTTAAGGTCAATGACCTTGACTTGACCTTCACGTGACCTTGACACCCACCATAATGCATAGCACCAACATCATTTCACATATTTGAACGTTTAAAACCACAAAAAGACTGGAAACTGCGGATAATGTGAGCTGGCATATACGCCGAATCGCGATTCCGGCCAAACATGGTCTCGAGAAATATGCCACAGGTCAAAGGTCAGTTGGGTCAGATTTATGAAATTTTTAGATTATATGTAAAATTGATGATCACCAGGGCACCGAAAGTTTCGTCGCGATCGGCCGCTTTTTGCGCGAGTAATTTGCGGAAAAACATGGGGTTTTATCCGACCCCTTCCCCCTCCTCCTCCCCACAAGTGCGAGGGTTAACCCGCGCCCGGCTGGGGGTCCTGGATTTCCACGCCCTGCTGGGGAGGGGGGGGGGGTGTTTGAACACCCCCCTTCTAACTCGACTCCTGGGCCAGGTAGCGATAAGCGGAAGGCGGCTTCGAAAGAGCGTCAAAAATAATGAGGAAATCACTTCGGTCAATTTTTTGGTCAGGTCAAAGGTCAGGTCACCAGAGGTCATTGAAGGCAAAACTTCGCCGATTTCCAGGTAGAATGTCGACAATTTCCAAGAAGCCAACGCATAACTCGGGAACCAATAGAGCTACAGCGCCGCGGAAAAGCGCATTCGATAGCCGTATAAACGCCCTTTCTGAATAGTTCTCTCAGATTTGACCTAACGTCAACGGTTTTGCCT